CTTTGTCCATTGACTTATCAAAAATTAACTAAAATAATGACATTTGACTTCAATATTTGTATCTTTCTGACGTTATACCAATTGGCGCGCATTTTTGATAGCGGGTTCATTTACGTACTTTTGGAAGTGGATTATTTAGAAATATTTTGGTGTATTCGTTAAACAAACAATATTTTCTAAAGGTAAGGCTCTTATTTATTAATTTGCTAGTACTTTTGTCTATATTCCGTAACTATCATGTGTATGGAGGGCTTATTTCGTGTTGATGCAAAAATGGGACAACATGCACTAATGGTAATAATTACGACATGTATTTAGTACTATGCTTCCTTTATTGGTTTGTTGGTTTTGTTTTGGTGTGGTATGCATGTGGTTTATAATTTTGTTATAGATATGTCATACTAACTAAAGAATTTTTATGTCTATTTTGCATAGTGTACCAAAAATGAATCATTAATATTTTTCAATAAAAACCCTATAAGATATGACTTATAATTTTTTTTAATATTTTTCCCGATTTCCACTCATTTGAAAAATTATAACCCTATTTTTTAAATAAAATTCATTAATTCATGCATTTAAGGGTTAAAGGAATGTAAGGTGCAATCTTGGCTAATTTCTCATTACAATTTTGTTGAGATTTTATGTATAATTAATGAGTTATTAACGATTTTTGGAAAGCGAATTTATCTTTCCAATACGTGAATGTGTAAGACGAAGAGAGATAGATGGCGCAATAAGGACGACGACATGGTTTCCGTGCCACTAACTTTGGGGCTGCTGCTTATCTCCTGATACGTTCTCCGTCCTTGTTGCGCCATCTCTCTCTCTCTCTCTCTCTGTCGGATTCATTACCAGCATTAGAAAGAAAATTTCACATTCCAAAAATCGTTAATAACTTATTAATTATACATTATATTTCAACGAAATTGTAATGAGAAGATAGCCTAGACTGTACTTTACATTCTTTTTGTGTAAAGGTGCATAAATAATGCCTGCTAAATTAGTTAAACAATTGTTTTCCGAGAGCGTATTTAATTCTTTAAGATTATGTCGGAACACTGCTTCCAAAATTTATTAATATCTCAGTTAGACATAAAAATTTATACACATTTGCAATTGGAGAATATAGAATAGACTACCAACGACTTTCACTGTACGTTTTGGATCACAATTTGTTCGTCGTTAGGTATTT